GTCTACAGGATTATCTTCATCAGGACTATTGCTTGGGTTTGGACCATGGGGACCCCTTTGCCTAAATCTATTTTGTTGAGATGCTTCCACACTAGTATCAGATGACTCATCAACACGCATGGCATCCCTAGTTGAAGGCAACTGGATTCTTCTTGGAACCAGGGAGGTAACAACCGCCGGGACCCTTGTTGCATTTGGATTAGAAGTTTCAGGACTACTCCTTGACCTACTGTTAGATGAACTAGGATCAGAAGGGGGAGAAATACCTGACATCTTGACCCAAACTCGGCTGAACTTTTGCGCTCAACTGCAATGATGTGATCCAACGCGAGCTTTGCTCAGCGTCCCAAGCAAAAGTTTGCAGTGATGGGACAAAAGACCAATGCAGCACAATACTACCTCAACCAACAAAGTCTTCGCAAGTTGGATATTAAGATAATAAAGTGCAATTGAAATTAATTCAGGCTGTGTTGAAGTTCGGATGAACTATGGCTTCGCTAGCGGTAATGACCCTAGCTCTGACCACAGAAACAACACGGAACTAAAAACAAAAGGCAAAAGGCAATTGGACAATGGACACTTGGCAAACGACAAGGACAGACCGACGAACGTAGCGAGCAAGCTCAGCTACCTCGGCGTTGAAAGCCTATCGGATGCTGTAGAGCCGCTGGACTTGTGCCAGGGCCTACCAGAGTGTGCGATCGTCCTGGCCCCCAAAATTGGGGTAAAACTGATTGGTCCTAAGAGGAACTGGGCGGCGAGATTCCAGGATCTGGGCGACCCCTTCAAGACGTAACCAGTCCTCTACCTCCGCAATCCAGCAGAGTTCCTTGTCAGAACGCCCCTCAGAACGGATGGTTTTGATGCCGAGTTGCCTACACTCGTTCAGGATGTCAGAACGGTCGTCGATGAGACAATGTGCCTGAAGAGCGGAGATGATAGAGGATTTGCCCTGCCTACCGCAAGGATAGCGTGCCAGGTGCACTTCTCTAAACGGCAATCCTTCCGAAATGAGCTGGCTAATCACGTGCTCAGCGCCTGCCTTGGTGCTGTCAATCTTGGATTGGCCGGCGTATGAGACAATGTGGAACTCGATTTGATTACCAGCAATCCTAGTCAATGACCGGAGCTTATCAACTAAGTGGGAAGACAATTCACCAATGGGGTTGAGAGCCTGGTCAATGGTATCGTGCCAGTCGATACAAACAATTACGTTGGATGTATTAACGTGGACTACCTTAGAGACTAAGTTGGGTTGGTGCTGGTAATGTCGCGGCACGGAGCCAGCGACCCCCTCTGGCCGATCTGGTGTTGGGTCAGGCAAAGGCCGCCCACGGACGTGGGGTGCAAGGCCAGAACCTGAACTTTGCTCTTGATGCGGCTGCTGCTGTCCTTCGGGATCAAGTGGAGGAAGATCTCGGGACGGTTGACCAGCAGGTCTTGGCCCACTAACTCCTGGCGGAGGGGGTTTTACGGGCTTAAGATTAGCTGGATTAGGGGGAACAGGCTTATTAGGTCTTGGGGGAATTACCACAGGTGCAGCAGGTGCTGCAGGTGCAACTGGCGTCGCAGGTGCAATGTGCACAGGCGGATGCTTCCAAGGCAGATTCTTCTTAGGCTCTGGAGCTGGTGGTAAGGGTTCTGGCCTTTGGGGCGTGTCGGGGACAGCAGCCCCCTTTGCACGGATTGGCACAGGAACAGAACTAGCTCTTTTGCGAGTCTTAGATGAAATCTTATTTGAAATTGGTACTTCCCTTCCCCTTGTTCTGGCAGCAACTGCGGGCGCAGTCTCGGCTGAGGGTGCTCTTGACCTGGATCGGGCAACGGGAGAGCCGGCTGGCTCTGATGCAGTCTCTGTCGCGACACGGGCTGTGTCAGCGACCCCACTTCCAGCACTTTGCAAGGACTGCCTCCAGGGAGGATAAGCTGAACTACTAGAACTGCTTAATGGGGGAACAGTCAAAGATGGTACTGTAGGGGCTGCTGGTGGTGGTGCAGCAGAAACTGGATCTTTTCTGGGCTGTGCCGGCTTATCACGTTGGATTCGGGAGGTTCTTATGTTAGGACGCTGTCTCTTTGGTGGAGACTCGATTGGACGGGCAGGGGTGCGCTCAGCAAAGCCAGCGTCGAAAGGTTCTTGCTGGCCGACAAATGCCTGACCTGATGAAACAAACCTGGCGGTTCGAGTCTCAGCTGTTTCAGAGCCCTCAGATTCGGTATCGGGGTTATTGGTGGAAATATTATAGACACTATTGGGGTCTAAGTTACTTGAACCAAGAACAGTCCGGTGGGATCTAAGTGCAGGATCACGCCACAACGAGTCGGGAAGCTCGTGTGGGTTGACCCCAAGCTCTGGTGCCGAGGCGTGAGGCACAATGAACGGCAAAGTCTGCGGCGCGTACGCGATCGGAGGATCAGCGACCCTAGCCCAGGTGCCAGCGGAGTCAATTCTAATTTCGGGGTAACCGTGTACTTGGGGTCTTAAAGCAAGAGGTCTTCTAGAAACACCGGTTATGGCACGGGCTCTATAAAGTTCTTGATTAAGTTCAATTCGTTCACGGGTTTCCCTTGGGACTAGATTGACAGGCAATGGCGGGTTAGACCTATTTCTTTTAGGCCTACGACGGCGCGTGGAAACCTCACGGCCGTGTTCGGTTGTTGTAAAGTCAGGGAATTCAGGTTCTTCCTCCGCCTCAACCTCAACTTCAACTACCTGGTCCTCCTCAAAAACTTCCTCTTCCTCCTCCTCCTCCACCCACTGCTCCTCTTCAGGCGGTGGATCGTTGGGATCCTCCGGAGCAGCCTCTTCTCGCGCCTCTGCAGGCTGGGGATCGCGGGCAGCGAGCTCCTGTGCAGTTGGCGGCGGATGAGATGGTGGTGGTGGTAAAGGTGGTTGTTTATGAAGGGTCGGACTAGGGGGAATGTTATTAGGTGGAGGTGGCAAACTTTGAATCCTATCTGCAAGGGTTGTGGCACTAGAATCAGGAGCTTTAGGCCTAGCTTTAGCTGGTGGCTTAGCAGGGCTAGCAACTGGGACTGGTGCTACGTCGCGCCCAAAGGCAGCGACCCCTTGAGAATCTGACTTTGGGGCTTGTGGGACTGGATGGACAGAGACAGTAACCCTTGGACGCGGTGGCACTGCTGGCTCAGGTGGCCTTCTCAAAGAAGGTTGCCAGTTCGGCGGTGGATGCCCAGGCTCTTTTGGCCTTTGCTGGGCCGGAGTTGGAACTGTGCTTCCACTTGCCGCGCCAGCAACGGGTGTTGCGGCAGCAGGCCTTTCCGCTTTTGGACGGGGTTGCTGCTGTGGGCCTGTGTATCTATAATACCTATCCCACTCCTCTGGGCGCGGGTGCTCTGCCCCTAAGATACGTTGATTGATGATCCTTTTTGGGGGTAGTTCACCAGAGTTAATCACTTGCTCAGCGTGTGATGTACCTCTGCGCCTGTCCAAACCGTAGGTATGAGCCCACTCTTTGTATGGGATGAGGATTTGATAGGCTAAAGCCAAACACTGTGATGTTGGGAACTCCTCAACAAGTCTTGAATGAAGAGCTATCAACCAGCGAGTGCTTTCGTCGGCTTGTTCGTAAGGAATCTTTCTTAACCAAAAGCCACCTACGATATCCCCTCCAGAATTATGATAAAGCCAATTTTGGTATGCCTCGAAGTCGTTCCACCAAGCTCGCTTTGCTTCTTGCCACCTGGTTGTGGCACCACCCCTACTTGACCTAACCCTCTGGCGTGGGGGATTAGATGAAGTTGCGGGGGAATGGCCTACCTGAATAGGTTCGGTGCCGGGTTCAACAAGATTAGGGCTAGTTGGTGGTGGGACTATTTGATCGGGGCAACTAGTGTTGGCTTCTGTCGCGACACCGGATGTGTCAGCGACCGCAGGCTCAGGCACGGGTGCAGATGGTTCGGATGCAACGGATGCTTCTCCTACTGGACCCGCCTCGTCACCTAAACCCAAAAGATCTGTTGTGTCAATCTCGCAATCGGCCTGTTCCAAAAGAGTTGAAGAATCTTGTTGAGGATCTACTTCTTCTTCTTCTTTTGCTCGATCAATGTCCGTGAAAGCAGCTTCCGCTGGGTTACCCAAATCAGAAGGTGGTTCCAAAAATGACTGATCTTGAAGTGAAGTGTCAACCCCAGGTTCTTCCGTCGCGACGGGATCGTCAACGACCTCCTCTGGCAAACCAATTGCTGAAATTACTGCACTGATGCTCTCGGCCTCGTGGATCTCCTCCTTAACCTCTACCAGTGATCGTTCCTGATCTGCAGAGTCTGTCACAATGGAGTCGAAACCAGATGGCGCGGGTGCTTGTACCTCAGACAGATCCGCCCAGGAGGTAGAGGCCTCAGCTATCGATCCGGCAGGCAACGGAGCTGATTGCTCGACGTCTTCTGCAGCAGATGCGACCGCTTCAGCTCCACCCGCTGGAGTTTCAGTCGCGACGGAATCGTCAGCGACCTCACCGGACCCTTCTGAGGGCATGCAACAAAGAACAGTGAAGTGCGAAAAACAAAGTTAGGGCCTATGGCAAGTTTTACCGGATTAGGTTCCCCAACAAAAGCCTTACGGCTGATAACCAGTCAAACAGGGGGACGAACCAGGCACCCACAAAAGGAAGGAAACCCAATCCGGTAAACCCTGCATGAAAACAAACAACAAGCACCTTTTCTCGAAGGCACTTGAGCCAGTCGACGTCGGATACATACTAATTATTACCACCCAGGTTGTTGTTAGGATGGGACTAGTACTACCCTCTAATCTAAGGCTACTCTACCTATGTAACGCTTCTACATAGGTGGTGCTATTGCTGTACATATCGGGGATATCTACTTGGAGTATATTGGAATCATAGCTACAGCATACCTCTACTAGACCTACCTGCACATGCTATACATGGTGGGGCTCAGGGGTCGATATATTTCAACTATTAAGTGACTAAATCCCAATCAGTTGGTACACCACTGATCCAATTCTCCGAAAACCAGACCTGTAGTCCTCCTTAGGCCAATCATCCAAGGTGGGATCACGCCACACCTTTCCGGACGCCTGGAGCTGGGAGAAACCGTGAAACATCAACAAAAAGAGGTCAGCAAACAAAAAATCATCCACATCTCCATGAAAAAAATGGTGTCATCAAATCTCTCCCCATTTTTTTTCATCATTTGCCACATCTCCCATGAGATCCCCAAGAATCGATGCCGCGCCTTGCGCAGCGTCACGGAGGCGGCCTTTCGTTCGTTGGGCGCCTTCTGGGTGGAGGCGCCCAAAGCGGCTGCCTGGAGAAAATAGGAGATCATTGCAGTTTTTTGATTTCATCCATGCACCAATGATAAATATGTTATGATATGGGTTCTATCTTCATGGTATACATATTTGTCTTCTTGTATATTTCTATTTTTGAGATGTTGAATATTAGTTGCTATGGCTGAAATGTATTTGACTTTAAGTTAGTGCATATGGCAAAACTTATGGCAAACTTCGCTTTAGCTGGGACGTTGACCCATCGGCAGATTCTGGAAACATCCCAGGTGGACAAGTGATCAACTAGGAGAAACAGGTTTCTTGCAACGCGCTCGGCAAGGTTTGGTCAGTGCCATGGGCTTCACCCATCCATCGATCCCTTCTCGGCGATCGGTCTACGACATGGCGACCGTTGTCTCTTGGGTCACGGCTGTTGCAGCTCGACAAGGAAACACCACCAGTTAGAAGATTTGGGGTGGCAACCCGAATGAACCAGGTTGAACTCACATCCAAATCCAACGATAATCAAGGATACAATCCCAAACCCTGAGGTATCCAAAAACACATGTCATATCTGTATCTCATCAAGGCACTTCAATTTTGGGGATCTCCGATAGGAACCATCCGGCAACTGTCCGTTTTCTCAAGAGCCAACTGGGCAGTATCCAGGCACAACGTTTGGTGTCTGGGTGGGGAATTCCGATCGTTCCCAGCTGGAAAAATGGTAAAGATGCTTGTAATGTAGGAAAAAAGGGGGATAATCCCTCAAATCCACTAATTACTTTGGATCACCAGGTTTCTTCATGACTCACAATTCCTGGCATGCTGACCAAACATAATCAAAGTATAGCTGGTCATCATGCTTATAGCTTTGTGGTTTCGCAGCTGTTTTATCATCGCAATTCCGGCGTAGCTGTCACCACGAAGCTATCACAGGCGTGGTTTGGTGACTATCTGCTCTCAACGACGAGACCTTGACAACCTAAGGGCCAAGGCTGACCTGTGGGTCATTGACCCAAGATCCTCATGAAACAAAGGGTCTACTTAGTCTACTTAGTCTTCTCACATTTTCTTGCGGATTTGCTGTGGATGGACCGGATATTGGTTTAACGATGTGGTTTTTCAGGATGGGGATATGTGGCGGGCTTCCATGCAGCTGTAAACCCAGCCGAGTCTTGGCTATTTCTGATGGTCTCCGAATGACAGATCTGCCAAATTTTGTCGTCAGAAACATACTTTGGCAGGTTTTTTGTTGTCAAAATCGACATATTCATGTTTTTTACACCATATAGTTTGGTACTATGTAATATCACTACACTCTTTTTGCACTTTGGTACTTTGTATATCTGTACCAATCTGTACCAATGCGTTAAACAAGTTAGTCCCCATGAAACACTAACCAGGGGTTTAAACTCCCATCAGTCCCCATCGATCCCCATTAATACATATTGAGCCCCATTGAAGCCCATCAAACCAGGGGGTAATCTCCATCCCGTTCAGCCCATAGGTTCGGAACTTAAGAGCTGAAGGTTCTCCGGAAGCTGTACGGCATCGAGCTTTTGACTGAAATTCTTGCCAAAGGTCATGGTTTCCTTAGGAAAAAAACCCATGGAATTGGTACCCGAAAGAATTGTTGCGAAAAATGATTCCAATGAAATCATGGATTAGACATTCATCTTTCTCATTATTTGATGGCAATAAAATTGTGAATACCCAGGACTCTTGGCAAAAACATGTAATTCAAACTGTAAACGAATGGGAAAGTCTTGAGATACGTTTGTATGCGGAAAGGGCTGAGTAGATAAGGTTGGTCCGAAAAGCGGGATATCGGATATGACATATCCTGGAAAGAAAGTTGGGGAGCAGGGAAAGGTTAACACCATGGTCGTCCTGCTAGCCAACCATCGAGGACCAGCTGATACTACCAGGGCGGTTCCACTGAAAGTCTTTCATGGAAGCCTTTATTTTGGAGGATCCGCGATCTGCAATTCCCTCGTATCATGAATACCATTTTGAAACATTGAAACATATCAAATCTTCCATAAAATGGCAAACATAAGCTGAACATCAACCCAAGGAATCATTTCGCAAATTTCCCCGCTGTGTTTCACATAAATCTGTCACTTTATTCCTGGCACAGACAGGTCGAGTATCAAGACCTTCGGGAAAATCGACGTCCTCTAAGGGTTGGTCAAAGTAGGCCCCGAAGACGAGGTCTTTCAATCCTGGCACATGAAGATGGCTGGAAGATGCCAATATGTCAATTCTGTGGATTCCAACATCTTCAGGTTTTTGCATCTTCTGGTTTGTTGATACACTTTTCTGGGTTTTTTGATTTCAACATCTTCTGTTTTTTTGTGGTTTCGTCATGAGCTTCAGCCCATTACTAGCCATCAGCCATCGACCAGCGGTGTGGCCCAAACATCCATTGGGGATCATCCCAAGGATCTCGGCCAGTCGCAATCATTTCCCGGGAGATATCACCCATCAACATCTTAAGATATCTTAATAGATCCAATGTATCCATATATGGATATATCATGATATATATGATATATCATGATATATATGATATATATGATGTATATGATGTATATGATGTATATATATATATATAATGAGATATATGGTGAATATTTTCCCCCCAAAAGTCCCAAATGGGATATGTTTCCCCCGTAGTTTAGATAATCCAAACACCCCCAACCCCCAACACGTGACCTAACGCCGCGCCTTGTGGGAGCCGGACGTGCCTTAAGCTTTGGTCAAAATCGCGGCCGAAACGCAACAGTTCCAGGCCACTCGGAAGATTCACCTCGATGGCAACCCTGAGATGAGGGATTTCATGAGGATGGAACATTATATAGATAGATGCATATACCACATACATTTTTTTTGACATAATATGCATATAGACAGACAAGATAAGATAAGATTAGATTAGATTAGAGATAAGATAAGATAAGATTAGATAGATAGCAACACCTCCAAGAAATATCGAAAGTCAAATGTGACTGAAACAGTGATACGTTACGTTTCTTTCTTGCTTTGCCGGGATAGTATAATCGAAAAAAACAAAAACCAGCAACCACTGGGCATATTTACCACGCAGTTGGCTAACAGTTGAAAGATCATCGTTGGGGGGTCACTCGCCAACAATGCAAACCAACAATGAACGCAATGTGGGCTTAACAGTGGGATAACCTGTTCATGTCCAGCATGAACTAACCCGCTTATAGATGTGAGAGTGATAATCATATTCCATGTACCATATCGCCCACACATATATCATATGAAACATATGTCATATGTTTATATGTCGTGTATGACATCTCTCCATACGTTTACTCGTGCACATCCTTCAAGTAGCATCAAGGTCCACCTTTTCTCAGGACCATCTTCCACCAAGGCACACCCACCAGGCTCTGATTGAAGCATCCTCCAAAAGTCCTGCGGCAGAAAACCCGGATGCCCCGTGTCTCTCAGGGTACCATGGGTCCGTTGGATGTACGATTTGGCTTCTGGAAGTCTGGAAGACACCTTTTGGTCGTTTCACACAAGATCTTGGATCTGTTGGATCTGTTCAAGACTCCGAAGCCGCCCATACTAAACCTCCACCATTGGATTCTGGACCCCTTCACTTCAGGACGCCGCAGCACACAGCGCCCCGTCATGGACCGCAGGGTCGCAGGAAAGTCCACGTGTCGCAAAGGCTGATTGAACTCATGGCCGAAGGTCAAAGATTGCAGTTGCTGAGGCAATATCGCCTGATGGCTGGGAATGGGCTGTCCAAAGATGAAAATCTAAGGGGTCAAAAATGGAGATTGAACTGATATAACAAATACTTGTATTCATATTTCTTAGTCTCACTGTCTCCAGTTACATCAACCCATCTTTCAGCCACTTCCCCTCTACTGCATGCCAGGTAAGACGCCTACTCGGGGCCATTCCACAGTCGCCAAGGCAATCAGCCAGCGCCCAAAGTCATTGTTTTACATTGTTTTACTTTCCACATCTTTCCTCACTAGCCATGCTCGGACCCCAACCTGCAAGCCGTGGTTGAAGAAGCGACCAAATGTGATGGACTCAACCTGGACAATTGCAAAACCGGTGAACCTGGCTGGGACCTCCAAAGAAATGGATCCACATAAACACGTCCCAGATAGTCCCAGACTCATTGGTGATGTCCCAACTTTATCTATTTTTGGTATTTCGGCTTTGCAAGACCCGCCTGACTTGTCTGGTTAGTTCAATGGTTGAAGGCAAACCACTCTTTACCCGCAAAATGTGCTGCTGAATTGGGACCATCATCTTAATTTACTTGAAGAAAATGTCACACATGTGAAACTATCTCAATTTCTCTTGGGAATTTGAATACAACATCTAGCTCTTCCTAAATTTCAAATCATAAACCAAACACCTTTCTGGACCTTCCCGTCTCCATTCCCAGTTCTGGCTCGCAGTCGAGCCTGACTGGGAAACTTCACCTGTTCCAGGCTCCTTAGACCGTGCCGAATGCTGGGCCAGTTTCCAGCTGAAACTCCGCCTTTTGCCTTCACAGGTCCTACATGACCAGTTTTCAGAAAACTTCTCAATTCTTTTCCATCTGGGTAATTTTCCTCCATTACCACTAGGGTCATAGAGAAAAACAGGCCACTATCCCAAAATATCCCAAATATCATCCCTTGGAGCACCCAGCCCTTTCCCAGAGGCCCGGATCGCCAGTCGTGCGGCTCATCGAAGATATCTGGGAAAACCAGGTGCGTCGAGTTTGTCACCTCAGATGCTAGTGGTGGGTTTTATGGCTAGCGAGTGGGTTCTAACCTTGGGTTATATATATATGCACATCACAATGCTATCAAAGGTATCCGTGATGGTTTGTTGATCCGCTGCTAAAAGTCTAACTTTTCAGCTGCGCATATATATATATTTTCACATGAGATATCCATCCAACCTCCACGAGGCAGAAAACAAAAAATCCAATCGAGTGGCTATCCAATGTTGAATTTATACATCAACCTACACCAACTGATGAACTCACAGCTACGATTGCACCCAAGGCGCCACATGTTGACCTCCACCTTAGGTCGTGCACAATGCGAGAGGAAATTGCCGGGTTGAGCCATCTGAAAAACATGTTGCCATGGATCAAACCATTTGGGGAGAAGAGATCCTAATTCTGGTTATTTTGGGATCTTTTTAGGACATTAGGATCCGTTTCAGCGGCTTACAGTATACTCAAAGCAGCCATCCCAAAGTAGGTCCATTTTGGAATCCGACCAGCCATCAGTTGCTGATTGGATCCCCAGAGGTAAAAACATCCCCAAATCTTCATTGCCAGGGTGCATTATGAGGTTTTACATATTTTTATGTGGCTAAATCTAATCATCTACTGGTGCTAGTCGGGAATGGGGGAACGATTCGATGATTGTGACTAGTTATTGATTGGGGTTATGGATTGGATCATTCATAATCACTAAACCACTATACCAACTGTGGTTAATTCCTGGTCATTCCCCCATTACGTTTAGCACCAAACCAGCCGACTATCCACAGCTCCGAGGTGCCGTAGGGAAGGACCCAAATGCCAGCGGGCACATGGACTTCTTCGAAGTTGTGGCCATAGAGGGGGCTCACCTGGGGCGATGAATGGAACAAAGACTGGGTAGTATATGGATTATAGGTTATATAAGTTAGATACTTATGTATTATGTATATATGTTTAATGTATGATCATTATAGAAGATATAATATGATTATGTGCACTGGGCATATATGCATATATGCATATATCATACCAATGGTTTGCTTACTAGCCAATTTATCCGTAAGTGGGGGTAACTATAGATGAATCGTCTCTGGGAAGCTGGTCATTTCAAGTTGGTGATCACCCCGGGAAGTTTGGTGATCACCCCGGGAAGTTCCAAAATCTGGTGGCAGGTGGTTGTCACCTACTTGGATGAGCATCGCAATACGTGAGGGCTGGTTGGTGGTTTAAACCATCTTGAAAAACATGAAAGTCACTGGGAAAGATTATCCCATATCCCATATATTATGGAAAAAAAGTTTGAAACCACCAACCAGAGGGGCTTCTACATGCGATATGGGGAATATCAATGGGTTGTGCACCACTCAGCAACTGGAATGCTCATCCAAATGCATGAACTACGGCGCAACCACTGGTACAATCACCGGGGCGATGTCAGAATCATGTGATTCGCAACCACAAAGTGTAAGAACATACTCAGCCATCTTCTCTTGGCCAGTTTTACAGATATGAAAACGAGGATCAATATGCAGCAATGAAGGGTTCGCACCCCCCAACTTCAATGTGTTTGTGTTCGGTAAACCTACCACAAAAACTCCTCACTTGGGCGAGGGACGTGCAAATGTTGGAGTCCCTTAGGGAGCATCACGCCTTCGAAGCCTCAGTGCAAGGCATGTCGCTGGAAATCGGTGGCGGCTTTGCCCAAAAAAGTTCAACCTGGTAGTTGAATTGCGAGTGTATGATTGAATGATCATCGGATGGATCGCAATTGATGGATACAAGCCAACAAGTCTAAGTATGGTCGCAACCCACTTTGTGATTGGGATCAGCAAGGATTCGAAGATTCAGATCTCCCAGATGGCAGGTTAAGCTGAACCAAAACTGAACCACCTTATATGGCTGGACCCGGTTTTTTCAATCATTGGATACTCATCGGAAAGAGCATTTCCTTGAGATAATCCCATGTAGACCGCAGAAATTCCAATAAAACACCAACCATCCGCTTTTGGCCACTGCTCAACGAGTTGCTTTCGTAGAAACGCGAACCAAACTCCAAGCTCTTCAGTGAACCTCGTGGCGAATCCATGGCCCATGGCTTGGGAACATGGAACTGGCTGCCCAACCCTTGGGTTTTCCCAGCATACCCTCATGGTATTTGTAGTCATTTGTAGTTGCTGTTGCTAGTGTGTATTAAGTATATATTAAGTATATTGTCTGTCTTATCTATTGATGTTTTCTTAACTATGAACCTTTCTTAAACTTAAACTTAACATGTTTGTTCATTTTGCGGCCGATTTCCCCTTTCCACACAACCATTTATGTTCACAGGTTGCTGTGAAGTTGTCAGGTCATTCGCCGGTCGTGCGCCTCAACAACACCTTTGTTTTCTTTTTTGGAAGAATTATCTATCATCATTGTTGTTTGATGGAATCATTTCATGTTTGACAGTCTTGAAATTATTGGCTTCTCCAAGAATAAACAGCCCCAAAATCCCTTGGTTTCAAAGCTCGTCTTCCCACATGAAAACGGATAAATCTGCAGAATGGGCGACTTCCCCTTATCTGCTCTCCATGGACCAAGGGGCATGGCAGCTGAACGTTGCGAAGGCTCTGGCTGAAATCCGTGCCAAATGTCCTGGGGGCAATCTATAGCGATTGGTTTTGGTGACTGTTCATGCGGTTTTGTTGCAATATGTTGCAATGACGGCTCAAGGAACATGGACGATAGACCAGGACATGTTGGGGTGCCATAGCTGCAACGAAAGTCCAGGGACGCAGAGTTGAGCTGGAAGACGGAACATTGAAATGCAGAATAGAAGGGAAATACTGCTTGGAATGACTTGTAGAAACCCTTTCCATCCTTTTTATTGGGCCTTTACCAAACATCCAAAAAATTGTTTTTTTCCAAGCTTCAGGTGCTGCAGTCCGCAGGGCAAATCCACGGCCTCGATGGGCAATGATTGGTTTGTCATGGGTTTTTAATGGGAATCACACGTGGAACATCATGGAACAGTTGTTGCTATTGGAAACAATCAGGCTTTAGGAGGCTAATACGAACAACACAAACAAATCCAGTGATATCTGGCTTTGTCTGAAAATTTCGGGACCTCCAAAAATCTTATGCTTAATGCTTCATGGCCACATACATTTCGTTAGACCGGCGACGCCTCCAAGGGATGGTTGAAGCATCGGGCGAAGCTCAACGTCTGAAGGGTGCTTGGGAAAATGACCTCACTGTCAGGAGTCAGGAGAATGTTCTGCTTGGATTGGGACAATTCCTAGCTACACATGATAAACATGTGTATAAACATGTGTATAAACAATGATAACCGCGCGTTTTTCCATTGAACTCAAGGGTTGACTGCAATTTTTCCGTGAAATCGATTCAGAGAACGGTCAGCGACGATCGTTTGTTTGCATGCGATTCTAAGCTTTCTGGGAAACTTCATGCACATTACAATCCCCGGATTTAAATTTGGCACCTCAGAGTAAATTTGGCAACTCAAAGTACTGTACAGTCCACCATTTGGCTATGGATCAAAATCCTCATCCAAAATAGCCGGTAAATGGATGTTTGTCCCTGATTGATGTGAAAAAATCTTTGTTTCTTCCCACTTTGTCTCCATCTTTTACCAATAGTAAAGCCCTCTAAACCCAATTTCATCTTCATCAAACCTTATTAAACATCATTAAACTAGATTAAAATGACCATGTCCTGTAGTCATCCCCATCAACGCCAAGAGGCGCCCTCCAAGCTTTGGTTGAAATCTTCGCCCAGCTTCAGCGTCTTCAACGACTGTGGCAGTTGGCAGCCGCAGAGGCTGAAGTTGAAGCGATTCCCCAGCCTTGGCCGTGGCCGCTGCGGTGTTACTGGAAGATGGGAGCTGGGGATACCTGAAAACAGGTGATTTACTAAGGGGATTCTGGAAAAATTGGGTGATTTTTTTTGGGAAATTAGAAGATTCCAAAAGTGGAGGTTAATCATAGACATACTGAATGAAAGTGATTGGGTACCCCAAATGGGAAGGTTTGCAAATGTACAAGAAAAGGCGACACGAGTATGACCATATCCTGGTCCCAAGAAGATTTGGTGTAGAAAATCGGACCATTCCTGGGCACTGGGATGATCAAATCACCAAGGCCCCGTTGCGTTGATGCATGTCCGGCATGTCCACAGTTAAGTCGCCAACTGGGCATTGTATGGTGGTTAGAAACAGCTATAGCGGCTATCCAATCCACATATTATATGGGTTGTAACCAGTTACCACTCAGCTTCTAAGCCTTCCCACTTGACCAAAAAGGATCGTGTCTGTTGGGTCACTAATCTTGGTGAAGTGTTGATATTCACCAGGTCTTCAATCGCCATTTAAATCATTTGATAAGTGGGTAAATTACTCTCCAAGCCAACATAGATGTGGAAAACCCACCATGAGAAATTGTAGATCAGTCTCCAACGTTTTCCCATAGGTTTTCCACATTCTTTGTTAGTTTGGAGGGTAATCAATATTTAGGTTTTCCACATTCTATGTTAGTTCTATGTTAGTATAATCGATATTTTGTTTGTAGATTATTCACAACCTTTGGTCTGACCATCGCTCCCTCGCTGGCCACGAAACTGCAAGGTCTCCAGGCCTAGGTTCCACGGATAAAAATGGGGAAGCGGGAGAACACCCACAAAGAATGAGGCGGGTTAACACATAAAAACATGATAAAACATGGGTATTTAAATCCAATTGGTAACTCTTACATAGACCTATCAAACAATTGGTTTGAACATGCCAAGAGTTGGGTATGAAAGCAGTAGAGTACAGATTTGAATGGGACTTAACCAAAGTAACATGGGACATACCCTCCAGCAAATCTAGCCTGACAAAGGAAAATCGATCATTCATCTCTTTCCTATCCCAATTTGGATTTTGCAGTAAAATAATGTAAAAAAACTGCTTACTGAAAGCCATACTTCAACCAGTCAGTGCATGGTTTGTGGAAGATTGAAACATGAAAAACATTGGAACATCTTCTAGACTATTGCGGTTCCACATAGTTCCAGAACCTCCAAAGCTTGAAGGTTCCCCGGGAAGCCTTCTGCCTGAGAAGCAACGGTCACCAAGTTCCCGAACAACACCGGCGATCGCTCATCGATCAGGCCATGCTCCCTCTCTGGGAGGTCCGTTCTGCCATCCGTGGCTCCGGGATCACTTCCAGGTGTCGGCCATTGCGCCTTCGAGACCTTCGAGGCCTGCTATTGCAGCACTTCTGTGGCGTTGCGCTGAAGCTAAGGCAGCTATGTGCGGCAGGCTTCCCTTGTTCATGTGCTATCTTTGTGCTGGGCAACAAAATGATCTAAGCAAGAAATATGCCAATTGATACTCACAATAAATATAGAATTTGGCAGTTCATGGGTCTTCAAATGGACGCCCAAGTCAAAAATGGAATCTGGAACACTAATTACTAAAGTTTTTAGATCACAAATGGCCTCATTGGGATTTTGTGTGTCAAGGCTCTCATCCAATAAACGTCAGATTTTCCTAGGGGGTCAGGAGCCCCAATCAACACAGCCCGAATATTGTTTTATTGGGCAAAGACGTAGCAACAGCTTGAGTAGGTGATAGGATCAACCTTTGAAGGTGATGGTGGAGACAGAAGCGCAACCATGTGATCATGTGGGTGACCATTCCCAGGATCCCCGTACTGATTGCTTGCAAAATTTGCATGTTCATTCCTCGGTCTAACCTTATCTCCAACCGACAACAAACCATAGGTGAGCTTAACAACAAGGATAGGATAGGAGATTGCCAATCTGAAACATCAATTCATTTAAGCCTTAACTTAGCCAAATCCCAAGGCATCTGCGAAAAAGTGACCCCTAAGTAGGCCATCTTAGATCCATTGCATCCCTAGAGCCAAGGCCATTTGGCCACTCGGGGTATATGGTCATGAATAGTTTTCATTGCTTGGGGAAACCATCGCATCCTCATTGTTGGTCATGGTTCCATTTTGTTTCTATGTCGGGGAACACCTCCCAATGTTTGCGCAATCTTTATTGAACATTAAAGGACCATATACATCCGTCATTCCGTTGGTTGCCTTCAACCACCAATCCCGTGTTCAGGGTCCAAGAGACAGTCGGGAAGACAAACCTGTTGGATGTCTTGATTGAAGTGCCTGGGACCGGGATGACGGCATCAAGACACCCAGGAAATTGAGGATATCACCAAAAAAAGGAATGAAACCAACAACGCTTGGAATATGATATGAAATAGTGGGTGTATAGCAAAAATTGTGGATTGACTGGCATGTACATCTCAAACTTGTGAGAACCCCAATCCCAACCCTGTAGCAAGGGGCGATTCGGGTCAACACTATTGGGATGGTTCATGAACTCCGCTTACTTGGCGTGCCAATCCATCAGTGGGTCTTGTTGCGGGTCTCAAGATTATACTTCTCACCATTATTTTGAAGTTTTCCCGCTAAGCCCGAATGATTGGTAAAAGTCCAATCTTGTTGTGCGATTCTCTCTCTCTTTCTCTCTCTCTCTCTCGGTCAATTGAATCTCTCTTTTGGGTTGTATCCATCATGCTGGCCCCCATGGTGACTATCAAAACCTCCAGGTCCAAATCCTCAATTTTTCTACCCTCATCATGGGTGTCTTCAACCTTGATTCGATCGTCACGAGGAGAGTTTCCAACTCCAAGATTTTGGAGGCGAAAACATCTTGCCAATAGTAGGCTGATCCAGCCATTCGGTAAATCATCATAAGCTTCCAGATCAGAAGTTTGTTCGCCAATCTTGGGATGATTCCCCATATGTGTATACGTAATACACCCCTGTATACGACAATCTATATATGGAGATGCCGGCCAGTTAGGTTGCAACATCATTTACGCAGGTCTCTGATCGTTTCGGTCAACAGCAGCTGCCACCAGGCGGCTCTCCGAAAATCAGCTCCTTGAGTTTGTTGGGAAGCTGCACCTGCTCCAAGCTCTGATTGAAGTGGTTACCGAAGAAGAGATACCTGAGAGCACGTCTGGAAAGTGGCGTCGTTGTTGACATCCCCCTGAGATTTTGATGTAGTTATGATTGTACTGATATAGGTCAAGATCACAAAATTGGTTGCAAGAATAATATGTCATCATACTTAGATTGGATGGGGATAGAATGGTGGCATCTTGGGGTGTCATAGTGGTATGATCGGGTGTGATGTGCCTCTAATGAGGGTTTCACGTGGAGGTTCATGAACCAACAAAAAACTCGTCTGGGGTGAAGCATGTCATGAAACATCTGACGCAGCTCAAAATTAGAGTCATGTCGAATGCCCCCCAAAAAACATCCCCACACAAAATTTCCTAGAATTTTGCCATGATAATTAGCTGGATTCAGTTGGTTTCCATCGAAAAACACAGGAAAAACACCTTTGGCACAGCCAGGATTCTCCAAGTTCTGCGGCAGCACAACCTGAGCCGAGCGGCGCGGTTACTGGGGATTTCTACCGGTTCACAGTCCGCACCAAAGGGGCTATAAACGATTATAGAATGTATAACTGTATGACTGTATAACCCTACTTCCAAGATTTGTACAATGGAATTGAGGTCCAAATATTTTGATGCAAAACTTCAAAGATAACTTGACAGACGCCAATGGCGGAGGGCTGGAGACCAAACAAAGGGCAGCAATCCAATCAAACAAAACTCTAATAAGAAAATCAGTTGTTGGTGTTTCAGCATTTGCTTTGAATACGTTTTAATCTGTTTTAACGGTAAATGTGGTGAACGTAAATGATGATGATGATGTCAAAGATGTGATGGTGGTCTACAACATCCAACCGTTGCCACTGGTCAGCAACCACTAATCCCATACGCCTAAGGGTAGCCTCCCTTGATGGGACCCCAATAAACAGATCCAGTTTTTCGGCCAACAGACACGATCCAAACGTTGATTGAAGGCGCTGCCGAAGGTCAACTTCCTCAGCTTCAACTGCTGAAGTATATGGCTTCAATTCATTTTTCAAGTGTGTGGGGGTTTATGGGTAGGATACATTCCACATTAGGTCACAGCAGGCGAGAAAGCTGATTTCTTTTTGAGAATGCCGAAGCCAAAATTAGACAGTTGGAGAAGAGATTTGTCATCTACATTCAAGGTCACCCTTTTGGGTTTCTAAGTCTTTTCAGAACCAACCGTCTATCCTTTAAACTTCTTTACAGCAGTCCCATTTGATACTTCAACCCATGTCGCCGGCCAAGCTTCTGTAGGCTACTGGGCAGATTGACTTGATCCAAACTCTGGTTGAAGAGCTCGCCAAACTCCAGCACCTCAGCTTGCTCGGAGCCGTGGAGGTGACGAAGATGGAAGCGTCACCAATACTAGAGTAGCAACTACTTCAGAACCATGACTATTTCTGACCTCCAACCAATCCAAGTGCTCAATGGTTGAGCCACCCATCCCAAGAATTATGAATCAACCGAAACAACCAGGATGTGCGGAAAGGAGAGAAATTAGACCAGCAATCAGCCAGCATTGTATCCAATATGGGACCACGGGTAAAACTTCACAAAAGACTTGTTCCGACTATAAAATACAGTGTGGAATTCGACGGGCGGATGGCTTCCAACAGCGTCCATTCAAGATGTAGGGCTGAAGTTTGGTTGGCCCTAGAAAACAAACATCTAAACCAATGAATTGAATGCAGCAACCCCAATCTTGCTTTATCTTGCTTTGACTCATTGCACATGGCGAGGCATCCATTCCTGAAATTCTGGTCAGTTGAAACTGATCATTCCGAGCTGTTCAAACACCAGTTCGAGGGCCACCAGCGACCTGCATTCGTTTTTCACTCAAGCTGAAGCTCTGGTGGCAACTCATATTCGTAGAGGCCTCCTGTTCTCTGGCTGTCTCTCCGGCGGCTCATGCTCACATACAGCGATCTGTCCTGAACCAGAACTGCTGTAGGGCGTAATGCGCCCGGGCACTTCAAGACTTCCGTGAAATCCTCGTCACCTGGACGGATGGCTAGCACTTTTCTCTGATGAAAGTCAGTAACGTAGATTGTTCCACCTTCAGTTATGAAGAAATTCGACAGGTCCGGTTCGTGCTCTTCTGGGACTTCTCCGATCACAACAGGTTCAAAGGAATCAGCCGGATTGAGGCGCAGAATGCGGGAATTCTCATTATCAAGGATATAGATCACCTCTTCCTTGGTCGCGATCATGGCATTGGCTGCGAACTGCAAGTCTTCCGGAAGACTCTCGAGCGTCATGACTGTCTGAAGCCTCGAGCCCTCTACCTTCTGCAGAGCTTCGGCAGTGAGCACGTACAGCACTCCGTTGGGCGAGCAACACATATTGTCACCATCCTGCAACTCATCAAGCACTAAGCTTCCAGATCCATTGTAGAAGCTAAGCAGCCTCTCATTGTCATAATCCGCTGCGAAAATCTCCCCGGTGGGTGAGATGGAAATGTCAAACTGCCTTCCCAAGTCATTGATGCCACTCACTCTGGCGCCTTCGCCCAGAAGCTGTCGCACTTGTGTCGCTGGGTCACCAGGTTTCCAACAAAAGACCCCGCCAAAAAAGTCACTGGAATAAATGGCACCTTTGTGCCAATGCAAGGAGTATGACGCGGTCGGCAGCACTTCTCGCCCCCAAAGTTCAGCGCTGGCACCGAAATCTGGTGACCAATGTTGCAAACAAAGCCTCTTTGGTCGAAAGCTCTGTGGACTTTGGATTCTCTTTCGGGACCGAACTCGCAAAGCTTCATTGACTTCCCGGTGCAGGTCGTCATCAGTTGGACCCGAAAGAGCAAAGCGGCCAAGCCGAAGCAAATTCTCGACAGAAATGGATTGGAAATCCACAAGTTGTAGCAGCATAGCCAGCGAAGCATTCCTGTCCTTGGAAACTTTAAGCCAATTAAATAAACCCTTCAACACCACTTCCTCCCGAGACACACCCAAATCTTCTCTTTTCAAGATTCGGGCCAGCTGACCAGAACTCAGCTTTCCAAAGTCTGGGTGCTGGCTGCAAGTCTCAAAATCCTCTGCAACCTTCTCTTCACATGCAGCCTTCAGAGCATGGAGGCCATGCGCTTCTTGCAAGATTTGCAGGGCAGAAGTGCTGTTCAAGGAAGCACTGAAGCCTGCCTCAATCGCACTTGCTAACTTTGGCAAGTCATAGGCCTCCGCCAGTCGCAGGAGTTCAAGACCAGCTTCCAAGTTTAGAAAGGGCTGCCCACCATAGATATAGTCAAGCAAGGCAGACACCGCTGCTTTCGAAGCAGCAATTTCCACTGGCTGTCCTTGTTGCACCCGGTCTGCTTCCAGAAAGGATCCACCCAGCAGATTCTTGAAAAACTTGCTGGCTGCAGATAGCAAGGCTGCATGGGCGCGATGTTCTGCACCGTCATTGCTCTTCAGCACAACATCACAAAGATGGTCTTTCATCCAGAATTCTCGAAACTGTTGCACTATGCCAACTTGATGCCGGATCAGATCCCAGTGTTCAATCTTTGCAGCTGTCATGGCGCAAGAATTCACCAGGTAGCTGTTCCACCGGTCGAGTCGTAAACACAGGGTTTATATGCGAGGATGGAAGTGAAAGGACTGTGGAGCATCTCTTTACATTTTTACTGAACACAGCTTCGACGAACAAAGAAAAGAACATTGAGATCTACGAAGATATGGTTCCCATTGCCATTACATTTCCGTGTCAGCTGGCCATTCTCCAGCAAATTTTGAGCCAGTGCAACCTTGGGTTACCACGAAGCAATCACTTAGCAACTATGGCTATGCTGCTAAAATGACATATGAAGCCACAAAGTCGAGACATGGTCCTACCAGCACTCCTCATAGCGGGATAACTATGGGAATGACGACTGCGCACTGTCCATCCCAACCACACTGCCAGGTGACCTGCAGTTGTGGTAGCTTCACCTGCTGTAGGGGCCAGTCGAAGTTCCTCCCCAGCGTCAGATGCTGCAGCGTCCGAGGCAAATTCACCGTCTCCTGGGAGTTTCTGCCAGGGGAGGGGAATGTGACACATGGACGAGCGAATCTCTATCTTTGGAGATTTGATGGCAGGTGTTTCTCCAAAAATCACTTGACACACAATCATTTCCTACTTCAAACTTCCCCCCATCGCTGGAATGCCTACTGGGCTCATTCCACAGGCGTCCCACGATCTTTTGGTGTACCCATGCCTGTTGGCCAAGTATGTTTTCTTTAATCAAACGCTAGTTTTTGTTGGTGCCATGTTGGTTGTTGGCTGCATCCCTGTCAAAGTTGACCAAACCTTCCCTATGAATGTTGTATCTATCTCTATAGTCTGTGTTCATGATCTCCTTTGTCCATCTTTGTTGCGAAAAACCCGCCGTTGCCAATTGTGTTAGCAAAACACCCGTCATTGATGATTGGAACGCAATCCTCGTCGCTTAAAAACACCATATTTTTGGACTGGTCGACACCAAAGAGTTCAACCACCCCATTTGGTCGTATGGGGATGGATCAAAATCGGACTGAAATATCCTATTTTGGAAGGGATGAATCGGGATGAATCGGGATGAAAGATTTATATGATATATGATATATGAAATATCTATAAATATCTAATAGTTGGATATAGTTGGATGAACATTTACCAACTATTTGGATGAAACAAACGGAATCCATGGGTGAACTGAGCCAGTTCGCCCTGCCGAGGCTCCAGGGGTTGGTCAAAGCTCAGGCCCAGGACCAAGGTGCGCAATTTGGGAAAAGTCACCTGGAGCGAAGCTTGGAAAATTGAGGTCATCAGCCAACACAGAAACGGGAATTTCGTAACAACACCCAGCAAACAGCTGGTTTTCGCCAAGAAACATGTGTGTTTTTTTCAATAAAACTGGTCGTGTTTCGGCAGCAACAGATGCGTTTTGAGAGTTAATGCGGAGGATTGTGCTAGCAGCACATGATTTTTCACCAGCAAAGCAATTTCACTTTGGCTTGCTTGGTTCACCATGAAGATTCTGGTAGAACTAAATTGGTTGAATCAACTCTTGGAAACAAGGCCTGCAAGCACCTTTGGATTTTATGCCTCACCCGACCACATGGCGGTTGCACCCACGCGTAGGGGGTCTGACAAACAGGAACTTTCAGGGGTGGCGATGCCTTGGAGATTCCCTTCCAATACTTTAGGTCATTAACAAATATAGGACGTACTCAAGCAAATAGAAAGGCGGTGTATCAATGAACATGCTGATATCAAAACACTCCAACAACAAGTCGAAGAATGTACACGGAGTAGGAGTCAACAAACATGGGAATGCCCGGGGATAGTACAACCAACCAACAACACGACTTCAACAAATTGAGATAGAGGCACATCATTTGGGGTTTACAAAGGTTGGACACTTGTTGTATAGTAAAGTACATACCCTCCAACAATCCAAACATGGCAATGGAGAATCCTGCATTTACTTGATTGTTTATCGCATCTAAAAAAATGTCAATGCACATTTATAGGGGATTTCCCAACCATGTGTGATGACCAACAAATAGCCAGGGGGACATCACCAGCCAGCTGTCCAGGCAAGGCACGTTGTCTAGGCCCTGATCCTTGGAAGGCAGATGCAAACGGCTCACAAAATCACCCCCCATGAAACCCATTAGACGTGAAGAGTGAAGAGCCCATCTTAGTGTTTTCAACACCAACCTGTTTGAGGCCACTTTGCTCTTGACCTATCCGCTTAGAGTGACCTTTTTGGTACCTTCCAACCCTTGGACTGATCAAATGAATCCCAGATCCCATCCCCGCCACTGCCAACAGCCCAAGCATCATATTCTTCTCCGAAGACCAAAGTTTCCAAATTTCTGGGCAGTTGCACATGCTCCAAGCCTCAGTGTGAAAGAAGTAGGGTATCCACTTGCGTGGCAGGCGTCCCACTTTTGAACATCCACGCTGCTTTTGCGTGGCAGGCGTGGCACAACTCTTTCACACACGACTTTGTCACACACAACTCTTTCACATACAACTCTTGGACACACAGCTCTTTCAGACACAACTTAGTCATACGCAACTCTTTCACATACAACTCTTGGACACACAGCTCTTTCAGACACAACTTAGTCATACGCAACTCTTTCACATACAACTCTTGGACACACAGCTCTTTCAGACACAACTTAGTCATACGCAACTCTTTCACATACAACTCTTGGACACACAACTCTTTCAGACACAACTTAGTCATACGCAACTCCTTCACATACAACTCTTGACACACAGCTCTTTCAGACACAACTTAGTCATACGCAACTCTTTCACATACAACTCTTGGACACACAGCTCTTTCAGACACAACTTAGTCATACGCAACTCTTTCACATACAACTCTTGGACACACAGCTCTTTCAGACACAACTTAGTCATACGCAACTCTTTCACATACAACTCTTGGACACACAGCTCTTTCAGACACAACTTAGTCATACGCAACTCTTTCACATACAACTGTTGGACACACAGCTCTTTCAGACACAACTTAGTCATACGCAACTCTTTCACGTACAACTCTTGGACACACAGCTCTTTCAGACACAACTTAGTCATACGCAACTCCTTCACATACAACTCTTGACACACAGCTCTTTCAGACACAACTTAGTCACACGCAACTCTTCAAATAAAACTTTGTCACGCACAACTCTTTCACACACACAACTTTGTCACACGCACAACCCTTTCACAAACAACTCTTTAACACACAATTCTTTCACAAACAACTTTGTCGCACACAACTCTTTCACACACACACACAACTTTTTCACACGCACCTTTGTCACACCCAACTCTTCAAATACAATTGTGTCACATACCTTTCTTTCACGCACAACTCTTCCACGCACAACTCTTTCTCATACAACTTTGTCACACACACACACAAGTTTGTCACACACACACAGTGCTTTCACGCACAACTCTCTCGCATACAACTCGTACCTCTTTTTGCTTATCGATCCTCCGCCATCTCCTTTGTCCTTTCTGCTTTCCCCGTGCCGCTTCAACCACTGTTTCTGATTATAGGAAGAAATTGACTTGAGGAGTTATCCGGTCCTTAATTTGTGAAGTACAAACAAGCGCGGAAAAAACACATTTCAAGAGAGACTGTTCAATTCAGGATAAGTTACACATATGTCTCAAGATGCTTCAATAGTTCACCCAGCATTGTTTTCCAAAAGCTTGGCGATGCTTTGCATGTTTTTGCCAGTGAAACAGATCTATGGCCGTAAATCGGCCCAACATCTCGATTTCAAATTTCTAAAGGGATAGGCTGCAATCACAGCCAGTGCCAACCACTTTGAAACTTGATCACTGATAACTTGATCCCATTGAAAAAATCCAGTGCTTCCGGGATTCCCATTGATATATATTGATATCATGGATTCCCGATGATTCCCGTGCTTCACAGTGGGAGCTTCGTGATGATCTCCTTCAGGTCAGCGTCACTGTGCAGGTCGCTGATAGCACCGGCAGCGGGGCTGCCGTGAGACGACCCGGAACGATGGGAACGCGCCTGACTAACGTGGCCATCATGTGAATAATGCGAATGGTGAATTGGCAAGCTATGCAAAGTTTTGAGGTTTGACTCGGTCAAGTTGGCATGGTCCCTATCTGGAGTATGAGGGGTAAGATGAATGACCATGGTTCCGATACAGGATTCCAAATCCACGTCGTATTCGATGGTCACAAATGCTTTCGCCTCACTGATCCCCAACAAATTGAAGGTCACACTTGCCAGACCGTTGTCTTTGGGATCTTTCGGATGTTTGGCTTGCGATTCATCGAAAGCATGCGAAGCAAACCAATTCCCCAAGCGCTGCAACTGTGAGTTGAGCCATGGTCGCGAGTCGTGGCTTGCAAGGTCCGAAATGCTATCCAGGACTACGTCGCCCAACGGTTGGCACAGTCGCTGCAGTGCGCTATTCATCATGAGAAGGTCAAATGTGTACACGTCATACATCGCAATCAGATTCTCGCCTTTCTCGCCTGTCATTGGATAGGTTGGAGCCAGCAAGACTGGGGTCACTCCGGTACGTTCGAAGGGTTCCAAGTCTTGCATCTCTCGGAGGCCCACGAGAAAGCACCTCTCATTGGCCAAATTCTTGAACTGCGCACAGAAGAGCTCCACTTTCACACGATTAAAATCGGAGTCCAACATGTCGGCATTCAATGCCACCACTGAGACGTTCTCGGAATCTGAACGGAAAACTTGCTCAGAAATTCGTTGTTTGTCTTCTTCGACAAAGAAGTCGAGCAAGGATTTCCCCGACAAACCACCAGCTTTTGATGCGGTTTGCAGAAGCATTGATGCGAGTTGGCTTGAATCTTGAGTGAGACTCAAGGCGTGATCTACCTCTATCACCGCATCATAACATGCAGTCAGGAGAGAGGAGACCGCGCCCAGTTCCACCGTCCTCTTTTGCAAGTCCACCCTGAGAACCACATTCTCACGCACCAGCCGTCTCACTGCAATGATGCCAACAAACATCATCAGAAATATGGGAATGAGATTATGGGCACCATAGAGTTTTCCTGGAGGATCTTCTTGTGACCTGGAGAGTTGAATTGCTTGGAGCAAGTGGACTAGGACGCAAAACGCCACGCAGCCAATCCGTTTGGCTAGCACTCCATACAAGAAACGTCCTGCGAACGCGAAGGGGACCACTTCTCGGACATCTACTTCTGGTAGTTCGACCAAAGTGGCGGCATCCAAGCTCAGCATCACTGCCACGTACCAAACATCGTGGCTGCTTGGATTGATGAGGCGAGGGAATGAAAACAACAACAGCCCAAGAGTGGCCCCCACAAGATGAGTGAGACCATACGGGTACGATACACCGGCCTGTTGCAGGATCAGGCGAAACATGGTGAAGACAAAGATGAAGTTCATTAGTCTTCGAGCCCAGAGGCATCGCATCTCATCGAGTTCAGGACTATCTCTGCCGTGGCGATACTTCCACCAGCTTTGGATTTCCTTGTGGCACTTGGAGACCCAAGTGGCCAGAGTCACAGAGAAAAAGGAGAGGGACGCTGATCGAAGGCATCGAAGGAAGGAGACCAACAGAAAGATGAGCTTCAAAAGAGTGGCCGCTTGGAGCACCAAGGTGCCATAGCGCAACACGGAAGGATCCATGGCATCCATTCTGAGAATTCGGAAAATCTAAGGGTTCCTTCAATGGCAACTACAACAAGGACTCTTTTAAACAGCTGTGAGTCTGTGAGCCCTTGAGCACAAAATAGGGGTCGATCCACACGGTCCCCAAAATTGCATCGGACACTCAAAAGGCAAAGAGTTTGTGGTTGGACGCTGTTGTCATCTGGCAGATGAGATTTCTGGCATTTTCTGGAGCTGTCCACTGTGGCTGTGAGAGTATGTGTCCAAATTGGGGCACCAATGGCGCAAAATCGTTCCCCTTTAAATACTGAACCACCTATTTTGTGTGTCAAAATCAATTTTCCATAATTTTCCGGAAAACATCATTTTCTGTCATAAATACTCCATGAGTCAATTTTCCCATATCCAACGTGGGAATAGTCTTCCCCAAAAGAAAGTGCATGGATGACTGGCACCACGGCCAAATTTCTCGTCCCAACGCATCGAGAAGCTCTGGTTGAAGTTGGCACCGAAGGTGATATGCTTCAGCCCTGGGATCACCAAGGATCAAACCATCTTTGCTGCTGGTTGATCCCGAAAAGGAATCGAAGAAATGAGTATAGTTGAAACATGTTGAAACCACCAGAGTGGCAAAATCCATGGCGGAAAGCAAGTCGTCAGGGACGAGTATAGGTAATCCGTATCCGTATTATCGATTCTTAGCCACAAGCACGTCCATTCCACGCAAAATGTCTCACCTATGATTCTTAGCCACCCACGTAGGTATGCAAAACCAGTGAGAAAGATGTGCAACCACCAACCTATGAATGCATATGCCGTTTCTTGTCAAATTTTAAAGACTTTCCAGACACTTTACCAAACTTCCAACCAGACTCCCAGAGGCTATTGATCCAACCCTCTCAGAATTCCAAGGATCCTTTGGGAAAACGCACGTTCTTCAAACTCTGATTGAAGTTGTAGCTGAACGTCAGACTTTGCCTTGGAGCTGGAAATCAACTACAATTTTCTTGAGATGGGGCATGGCTCTCAACAAAAGGGTACCTGACCCATCAATTTAGGCATTGTTTTTCTGAACGACAATCTAGTATTGGAATAAATCATGTTAACCCCTCACGAAACGATAGATGACAACGCCAACTGGCAGCCGCAGTCCATTGCGGTGAACACCAAATCAAAAATGGTGGCGAATCACTGCATGGAAACTAGTATAGAATCATATAGAATCCCAAAATCAACCATTTTTTAAATGAATATAGAGCCATCTTCCAATGATTTTTCTCCACGTTCTTTCAGCACCATGATCTCCTGGGTGAAGCAAACCCAGCAACCCAAACTGGTGGACAGCCAGCTGAAGCAAACATGTTTCTCAATTCTCAAAATCCGGGATAGACATGGAAGATCAACTTGTGGCTGCACGAATCCATTTGGGAGTATGGTTTTGAAAAAATGAGATTGGAATATGATGCCTAACAGTTAGTGTTGCAATTGACTGCCATTGAATTCCTAACTGTTTATTGGCTTCTCCGAAAAACACCAGGATCTGACCCGTGATGCCACGCTGCAAATTCTTTGGGAAGACAACGTGCTTCAAGCCTCATTAGGCACTTGGATCAAACTGAAGATAGTGAATGGAAATGCAATGTGTATATATCGTTATATATCTATATATAATCGCATCATATATGTTTGTACAAACAAAATTGTTTCAAGTTTCAACCCATCGCAGAAGTATGAGTCAGTTGAGACCATCAGAAAGTAAGGAATCTTTGAAACCACTATGCTGATTTATTAAACATGGATCTCTTTTACGTAAGGGTTAAAACTTGTCAAACCTTCCCAGGGGTTGAATACGGACTACATGCGTTAAATCTACCCATCATCATTTCATTATTCGACAGGTTTGTTGCAAAGATGCCCCTGGTCCCAATTTCAATCGACAGGCTGATGCTTTCCATGAAATCAGGTGGTTATGCTGTCTACCTGCCACTGATACATACATCCATGTATGGCCACTTTACTGGGTTTACCAACAACTTGTGAAGATCTTTGTTTAGAAAGCAAAGAGATTCAGCCAGCAGGGATATAGGTGGAAACCGCATAGGTCATGTGCAGCTTCGACCAGTCGCCAAGTCTTGGGTGTACCCATCGAAAACCTCTGATGGAGCACCAAAACACAATCGCATTTCTTGGAACTTATTTCGATCACCTCCCCACATCGAAAAACATTTTTTTTCTTCTGCAAATATCAGGGTCATCTGGAAAACTTTACGGGATACACATCCAGTTTTTTTGCATCAAAACCATGGTTTTTATGGTTTTTGCTGCCAAACCACCAGAAACCGATGGGAGTCCTGATCCAAACGGTCCAAGTGACTTCGATCGAAGTGCTCAAAGACCACACGCTCCACGGTGCCTGAGATGCGCACCTGATTCCTCAGCAATGTCAGGGGAGACAGCTTGACATGGGGATTTAAAACCATTTAAAACCACTGGATTTTAGGTAACTTGAAATAACCATGGCAATTTATCGTGAAATATAGTGACTAAATCAATAACCATGGCAATTCATAGTGGAATAATGAGACCATTCTGCTTGTGATTCGTTGCTAGGGCCGCACCGGAGGCGCACTTGCCGATGAGATCAGTCATGTCATATTCGACTGGAACCGCCAGCAGACCTGGATGCCTCAACCCGAACTCCGCATCCTTTGGTATCCTTTGGCTGTACGCACCAGCCCCATGACATCTTCACGACGGCTCAATAATTCGCATCTTCACCGGGATTCAATTTGTTGCTTGAAAAAATCCAATTTCTCAATGTCAAACCATGCTAAATCCTGTTCAAACAAACCCATGATCTTATGGCCCCCATGGTTTCCCTTGGTAACTCCCCCACCTCAAAATGTCACCTTCCTTGCAAGCCCTGTTTGTTAGTGTGGGATCCACCAAAACAACCTGCTGATAGCCCCCCTTAAGGGTTGATCATTGGGGGTTTCATCCCAGCGAGAATTCATCCAAGTATCATCCCCACACACCAATAGTAATGATATCCAAATATATAAAGAGTTCATACTTTGCTAGTTGTAATATCCCAACAATATGTATAATTCTGCAACACATATTGGTTGATCGACGGTTTCTCGTAATTGATTTCATCTTTGTCAAACCCCAACAAATAAAAATGGAATCTGAAAGATGAGGTCTCGGTTAGATGACAACTCACTACTGCATATGGCGCAACTCTTGGGTTCTGTTAAATGATAACTGGGAACAACAAGCGTATATCCCGATAGTAGCAATTATCGAATCATTTCCCTACTCATATCATCATTATCTGCTTGGTGGTTTCAACCCCCTCTGAAAAATATGCTCGTCAGTTGGGATGGTTATTCCCAATATATGGAAAGATATGGAAAGTCAACAAATTCCATGGTTCCAAACCACCAACCAGTTATATGGTTTTTCCAATCATACATTACCCCCAAGTGGTTCTACCAAATACATGAACCCCCCCAAAAGATGCCGAACAGTGTTTCCAGGATGTTAGTTCGACATGTTCGATGATGTTTCCTCCATATTTTCCAGGTTTCCAACTGTTGGGCATTTTTTTGGGGGGTTGCTATATGGGATCACCATACATATGGGTTTGTCTGAAAATAGGGTATATTCCAAATGAAATAGCCATTTAATAGGGATAATGATCATTAACCATTGGGTTTAGGGGTACACTATTTTCAGACACACTCATATTGTGTCAAATTCTCCCAGAATCCACCAATAAACCAAGCATCAGGATGGTTTCCAGCTGCCTCCCTTCGTAGTACACCGCTGTCAGCCCCTCCAGTCCTTCGTCGCTTCCGCAACCGTCGCTCCAAATGCCGGCGGCGCGACATTTCAAGGTTTTCCAAGCGGTGGACCTGGGCTGGCCATGGCGATGTGTGGGTATCAGATTGGATGGGAAACCAACATGTTTTAAAACATGTTCGCCCCAACCCGGACGTTGCTTCATGAGGGATCAAAATTCGCCACGGATTTCTGGAACAACGAAACCTATCCAACCAGGTTTCCGCTGGTTTGGTCAACATGTTCCGGGCAACTGCCCTGCCGCCCAGTGGCATATTGGCCCTGGCAAAAACATAGTTGACCACTGGCGAGTCTCGCAGACCTGCCGATGTCCGATGTGGAGGTGATTTCTACAGCATGTTTTTTTCCAAGATGGGTTTACCCAAAAAATGTGCATAATCATAGTATAATCCCAAGATGGGAGGCAGTTTCAATAGCCAATCCTCTTAATCGTGACACATTTCTGTCAAAAAGCCGAATTCGACTCACAATCGACGGAATATCGAGTATCTGCCCAGTCTCTCGGCATGCGTTTTTATCCTCTACTCACCGTCCATAGTCGGCAAGCAAACATGGGTAGAGGAAGGACGGCAATCGATCCCCACCTTGAAACTTCGAAATTGAACAGGGTAATTTTTCACTTTCAGAAAGTCATCATCATCATCATCATCATCACCATCATCATCATCATCATCATCACCATCCTCGTCATCCTCATCATCATCATCCTCCTCCTCCTCATCATCATCATCATCATTCTTTACTATTATTATCACGTACTTATACTTATTATCATCGCTATTATTATGTAACACCATTGTCCTCAACATCCAATTGCAAGGCTTCCGTGTTCGTCTCTCCCTGCCTTCCTCTTTCAATGTTTTGGTCAACGAAATCTTCTGATCTTTCCACAGCAGCCACAAAGCCTTGGTCAGTGCAGTACTCATTGTTCACCTTTAAACATTCAAGCGCCCAGCCGGCCAACAGTCTGCAGTTCGAGGAATTTGGCACACGGAAAGCTCCGAAAAGGACGCGTAAAGTAAATGAATGTGGGTTATGGGAGATTATGACAGCCAAGCATGCAAGAAATTAGATCAACCCAACATGCTTTCTTACTGCTACCCTATCTTTGCTGATCTAACAACGGCTTGTACATGCATCTTCCAACCCTTTTTCTCGGATGGATTCCAGTCTTGGATAAACATCTTCCAACCAGTTCCAGCGAGTTTCCAGATTCCATGTTGGTTTCCTGGAGAAGGCACCTATATCCCAGTTTTCGCCGGGACACTGCACCACGTTTGGATGGTAGGTATCCTCTCACCAGTTCCTCAAGAGCCATCGATGAAGACTGGACCCTAGAAACTACCGTACATCCTGTTACACTGTGATGATGACTTTTGGATCTTGATATGCGACATGGATCGTTGTCTAGTTGGCTGGATAATTAACGTCTTGTCAATTCTAATTTTCACGCTGCTGTTCTGTTGGCTGCATCCACATTTGGGCCTGAGTTCAGATATGTTGAGATATCCAGATACCCTCTTGCACGTCAGAAACGTTACATAGATAAGATTTATAGCAGGATGTTCCTGATGTTCCCAGCCCTCTGGATGTTTTTTTTGACCCACACCAGGTTTGTGGGGGGCTGGTGGGTTAACTCCCATTGCACCCCTCAACAATAACAAACCCTCTGGATGGCTCTCAAAATGCATCGCCCTGACGGAGAAGCACAGATATCAAATTGGAATCACCAACCCAATGGGAGCGGATATGGATTACTCAAGATACCAATTTGATAGAGTATTAAGTCTCAAGATACCAATTTGCTTGTCTTGGTCAATTCTGCTGTTTGTATCTTGTCATTTTTGGCCTACAATTATTTTGTACCAGCCAGTTTCTACATTTCTTTCCACTGAAAAATGCTATATAAAAATTGGCGAGACAATGTGCAATATTTTCCTCCCATTGAACAATCTTTCCTCTTCGTTCTCTACCCATCACATCCTCATTTATGCGCTTAAACTCATCAGAATGAGTGTTTTCCAAAGAAAATTGGCGCCAAGTTTCCAACAAGTCCTTTCCAGAGATGCTTTCAGAGACACCTGAACTGCAACCCACATGGCAGGAACATGTTATATGGCTATGAGTCAAAACCCTGGAACCCTAGTGAACACCAAAATTGCGGGCATAAATCGGTGTTGATCAATCCACAAAATATGGTATAATAATAATCTGACTAATCGGTTTGATCCATCCCCGCGGTGGCATAAACTTTGATAAACTTTAAACAAAGGGGACTGGTTTACCAAAACATGGTGTAATCAACAAGTGCGGTTCTTGAAAGTGTCTTGATGACCAAAAGATTGGCTGGTTTTCCGGCCAAAAAAAATCATATCAGGGAATTTATCAGTAGCTCCCATTTTAAGCATCCCTACATCAGGATCTCCCAACCAATTTGGACTGCAGACCGTGCACCTCAAACTGATGCCCACATGAAATTGACAATGAAACATAATGAAACCCTGATTCATTTTTTTTGCAACATTTTTGGATTTTAAATCGCCAGTTCCAAGCAAGATCTTGCAGGTGCAACTATTGGTGGCAACCAAAACTGCCCATCCCGCAACATCATTGCTTCTTGAAGTAGCTTGATTCCCTGATTTGCTACATCATGCTGGGTGTCACTGGGTGTTTGGACTTAGATCAAAAACTGACATCCATAAATCCCAGCATTTATGGTGTGAGAACCAGAAGATTCCATGGCTTTTGATCCAGACCCTTTCCCATTTGTCGTCCCAGCCACGCAGATTGAAGTCATAGCCATGGACACCACCTAGAACAGTCAGCATCCCTAGTGGAGTTGGGTCTACCTTTAGGGATGATTAAAGCTATCCTCAAACAGGGTGAAATCTGGGGATAGTTTATTAGTGTGGATCCCACAGTCACATTGCGGGACTTTTGTGTTCTCAAGTTCCAAACCCAGGTAAAACAGGTCGATAGAATCAACAAACAAAGGTGGTTTCGATCCAAACATGAGAAACATTGGCACAATCACGCAACACAGGAGATACCTTGCACAACACATGCCTGAAGTCACCAACAAAAACAGCCTTCTTTCAGTTTCCATCCAATTCTAATGCCCAAACCTACTGGTATCTAGGATACCTAGGTTGATTGGGGTTCGCACCCACAGCTGGGGCACATCGTTGTAGATCTGCATTGGGGAGTGTGAACAGCTGATGATCTCCCTTTGGCTGACGGAGAGGAAACAGAGCATTAACATCACCACTAAATGGGAATAACACCACTAAAAATGGTGATGTTAGTACTATATTCCCATATTTAAATGGACTATGGTGGAAAGTACCAACTCATTCTTTCTTCATCTTTATTCTCCAGTGGGAATGCCGTCTGCCGATTCAATTTCTTGAATTGGTACACCCATGGAACAAAGTGACAGTATCGTGATAATAATTTAGTCAACACATTTTCCATCATTTTCCCTCGCTCCTGGGTCAGAGTTTCTTTCATGGCTTGTGGCGGGAGGTATGGTCATCTCAATGTATGGACATGTCAAAAAATACTTTCCCAACATCTGCAAAATAGGAGGCAAAGAATGGTAGAGGTATCCCTCATCTTTGGACAGAAGCATATCACCAACCAGCTCAAGGTTCCTAATGACTCCCTTTTGAATTATTTTCGGGTAATCACATCATCAAACCGACTATTTCAGGACCATTGCACATAATGTTTAAACCAATTCCAAAATACCTGGAACATGAAAACGCACCCGAATCTGATTTCAGATTAACAACTTCATGCTTTCACCTCTGAACAATCACATATTTTCTTTCCTCAGAAGGTGGACAACCCCCCCATGGAATGTTGTGCTTTTCGGATCAAAGCAGCTGTTTTTTTGATGGATGCAAATGTGAACCCATTCACTTCACCAAACACCCCCCTGTCTGGTGTCGCTGAGCCACAAATCTGCAACTCCAAGAAATCACCCTTCGCCACCGCGGGGTATTGCGTGCGGTGCGGCCGTGGCAAGCCCATGGTGTGGTCAGGAGTGGAGATGTTGCTACGGAGAAAAACAACGAGTTGCCAACACATATCTATGTTTTTTCAATATGTCACGCAAAAAAATATTCTTTTCCAATAGATCTTTGATGAATTCCTCAGATTTATATTTTGTGGGATTTCATGATTTCTAATCTCAACTCATCAACGGCAGCGGTTTAGAGTTTAGACCTCAGCTTGTCCGAAAAATCCTCTGACTTCTGGTGAGTCAGCACTGGCGCTCTTTCGGCGCTCGGCGAAATGGCTGCAGGGAGTGGCCTACAAAAAGATGATGGACCCAACAGTCAATGATCAATGGAGGTTTCCTAAAATAGGGCTTCCCCAAAAACAAAAAAGGTCATTATCAATGGGAAAACCAATGGTTTGGGAGTGCTTGGGAGTGCATTTCTTTTGGTTTGGGGGGTACCAATATTTTAGGAAACCTCCGTATGGGTACATAGCCCAGCAATGCCCAGTAGTAATGATAATCAATGATCGCGAATTCAAAGAATCTCTCAATCATAAAATTCAAATAATAAGCGGGGGTAACCGATCAGCAATGATAATATTGATCAAGAATCATCAAATGGCTTACCAGAAATGGGTGTACACCATCCTGACTTGAAAAATTATCAGTAAACCCACATTGTACATGTCACATTGCTATCTTTTCATGCAAATGGCATTCTTCTGGATAGCTTTCCGCGTTGTGCGTATTTGGGGAGTACTTCAAATGACTTTTAATAAATGCATTCCGATTTCAAGGGGCCAGGTGATCAACCTTTTCATCGGTGAACACCCTGAAAACATCATGGAAAATTTCCATCGGATTACACCAATGACAACAAAGGACATCTTGAATCCCATCTGAAAAAAATGGTATATTTCATTGAGCTGTTCAATATATCCAGGTTCGACCCGTACCGCCATGCCAATGTCCTTGGTGTTTACTTTTTTTTTTGTGGTTTCTATGACATTTGTTCCCACTGTGACTTCCAAGGGCGCCCCAAAAAACTGGCATGTTGCAGGTACTGTATCTCCTGGGGAACCACTTTGATGCTGGATCCATAATGCCATAGTCATCGCCCCCAATTATCAATGATAATAGGGGACCATGAAATGAATCACGCTGTAAATCGGTGCATACCCAATCTCATAATCACGACTATCAGGGATCATGAAACTGTCTCATTTATGGTTCCCTCACTACCCCCTATTAATACTTCATCAAACCCATTGATTCATTGATATTGAGTTAGTGATATCCAACCCCCATATGGTTGAATCCTGGTTTTCGAACCAACGTAGCTGCTACTTCTGGATGTAACCCTCCCCCTAACAACCAATGGGTCTACTGGTTCGTCACGTGACAGTGAAAGTTGCTACCCACCAATATGGGGTTCTTTATGTTCAGCGATTTTCAACTTCCCATCATTGTTGCTTTTTTCTCTATTCATTCCGAATATCACAGGGAATATCATCATAGTAGTATAAGTAATATACCATCATGGGGAAGAATATACAACAAATCTGCATCTTTTTGCCAAATATTTGTTGTTGATTCCTTGTCTGAAAAGCCCACGAGCTCCCACTGGTGTGACCTGTGCAGCACCTGTTGGCGTTAAGGTGGATGGCATTGCAGGACCTCAGATCATATGGAGATGGAAACGTGGAGGTTTCCTAGGATGGGGGTACCTCTAAATCATCCATTTTTGTTGGCGATTTTCCATGATAAACCATCCATAATCTGGGGGTTGCCCATTTATGGAACCCCCATTTGAGACTTGATTCCGGGGCAATATTAAGACCAGGAACTTTGCTAAAAGGCCTGGTAGTCCTGGAAAAAGCTACTCATATCTACTCATTGCACCACGGACAAGTCCATGTGAAATAGACGAAACCGGGACTTCGAAGATTTTACCATTTTATACAAAACTGGGAGTTGAATTTCACAAATTGCGAGTCTTGTTGGAAACATCGACATCATCTTTCAACCCTAGATTTCTAGCTTTGATACCATTCCTCTAGGCAAACTACAAAATAACAAACTTAAACATTTTATTATTCGAACATAAGTATAGATCAGAGTGTGTCTGTAAAACATACTAACCATATAAAACCACTAATTCTATGGGTTTCCCCTTCTTTCTATCATCATTCACCAGCAGTTTCTGCAGCCCAACTCAGCAGCCCCAGCCGATACTGGGCTGCACCATGGGTGCAGCCGCCATTCCTGGAATCATCGCCATGGCGCCTACGCTCTGCAGATGGGATTTAAGCAGTGAAGATGGTGATTTGTAGTTCCCACAAATGGAGAACAGATGGAGATTCGGCAATTAAAGATTGGGATCTAAGCATGCAATTTCAGATTTCAGTGGCAAACGCGGGGATTTTCAACAGCAAAATCAACGGATTGGAAACTGTGCAGAAATATGATGTTCCTTCAGCCAATTAAATATACCCCATGCGTGGGAATTCTTTACCACAAGATTTGATCGCGGAGTCACAACATCATATATCAAAAATCGGAAATGTGGTGAACTTTATGAAACTACGCTGGCCATCATGAGTAGATGGGTGAAAAGGGGGTCAGCGCAGCTTCCTACCAGCTGCCGCTTGCCTCAAGCCTTCGGGCTCTGGTCACCTGGCCGTGGCTTCATGGATGGTGTGACTACGACCAAAACCGTGGTTTTTCTGAAGCTCAAAGCTCGCACCCTGCGATGCTTTGTCGTAAATTTAGCCACCGGTATTGACATGGATCCCCAAGACTTGGAAGGTGAGGATACACACCCAAGAGAACACGGAACGCCAAAATGGGGTTTCAAACTAGCTTAGCCCAAGATACAATGGTTCATATAGGATCATATTATCATTTTCATTCATTTTCCCTATAGGTTCACTCATTAACCATGACCATAAATTGAAGTTTTCTGCCATTTTTTGGCAACCCCTGGTTACTCGCCTCTTCGGCTTTGGCGGCACCACGCCACGCCCGGCTGGAGAGCCGAAACTGCCGATTTTCCGCGGCAAAGCCATGGGTTTTCCCAACATCTTTGTTGATCTACCGCAATAGAAATCATCCCCAATCCCAATTTTTTATGGTAAAAAAAAGATGGTATCCAAATTTTTGACCCCATACCTGGGAAAATGCACCATTCAGCAGGAGGTCATATTTTGAATCCCAAGAGTGGAACATGTATCAACCGCTGTTGAGTGTGTCAAAAAGTTGGGGATACCCAAACCATGAGCGTTCCTAAGTAATATCACCAAAACAAGCCATTAAACCATCTTCAATGATTTTTGGGGTCGTGCATTTTGGACACACCCCGTGCATCATTCGAAACTCCTGAATGAAAGCTGCACGAAATAGCACAAGTACGGAGTGTTGGGTAGAACACATACATCGCCGGCAATGCCAACCCCCATATAAAAACGCATTCCCAAAGCCATGTTTTCTTTTTTCCCCAAAGACAGAAAACCCACAGAATTCCTTGATCCAGTGAATGTTTACGACTATCCAGCCTGATTGGCATTGCTGAGTATGGACAAACACATTTCCATATACATGGAAACATCAAGATACCTATCCATCTGTCCTTGTACAAACGTAATCATGATATGCCTGGGATAAGGCCACTTTTATGTACCAACAATAATTCATAGTGAGATCTTGACCCGTTTGTTCACATTGACCACCAAACATATCATTCCCCTCAACCTCGCATGTTTGCCTTGGTACATCAAAGGAACCAAGACCCACGAAACATTGTAGCATTTGTTTTCACCTTCAGCTTCAACAACTTTCATTGGCTGCTTTGAAACTGAACTACCTCTCAGAATCAAAGATCTTGACTGCCTGGCAGAGGTGTTCTGACACTCCCCGTTTTCTTTATTCCAAAGGGAATGGTTCGATTTTATCAAAACGCAAGATGGGATAGACTCAAAAAAGGTGACCTTCAAATCTGCAAATCCCAGGATCGCTTGGCCCCTATGTAAAGGCTCAACTCTCCATGATGGTTTGATTAAAATGCATATAACTTCAAAATTCAGCATCGAACCGTTGAAAGTTCAAACAAATCAGGGCTATCCAATGACGAATGGGCATGAACGGGCCATATATGGAGTTGACCTAACTCTCACCCTATCAATCGATGAACCTATACGACACATACTCGCATGCAAATCCCAAGCATCGCTTGATCTTGTGGGTCTGCAAATTCGAAACATCTCCTATGAAAAGACTCAACTTTCCATCCATGACGGTGTGTTTCAGAATGGATCTAGCTTAGCTAGCTTCAAAATTCAGCATGCAAACTGTGAAAATCATTCGAACTATCCAATGACAGATGGGCCAGATATGATACATATCTGGGTCAGCTGACCCTGGTTTTCACGCTACTTCTGGATGTCGACCTCAACCTACGAGTATCAGCCAATGGGCCTATAGGTATTGACACATACTCGCATCCCCTGCAAACCCATCAAACACCCATATCATGCAATAACAATGTGGTAAACCCTATCACAATCCAAGACAAAAATACTCACAATTTTACAACTTTCAACTTACATGCCAGGGCCAAGTTGGGTTTCCACACATTCAGACTCACCACTTCCCATATTTCCAAAGCCCACCCACTGCAAAAATACTATCACTATTAACCCTTTATCCTTTCATATCAATGGTTTCACTTTCCATATTTCCTGATTTGGTGTTCAGTATGGGCTCATGAAACACCTGTTTCCCCTGTCTTTACACACCATGGCCGTGTCATTTGGCTTCATTCGATTGCAATTCATATTCCCCATCATTGATGTTTTTTTTTCTCCGTTCATTCCGAATATAAGCTCCGCCACTTTTTGCCCAAAATTTGTTGATGATAGCCGCGTTCCTCGTCTTTTCCCGACTTTTCCCACTACCAGGCGTGACCTGTGCAGCACCTGTTGACGTCACGGTGGATGGCATTGCCCGACCTGGTCAGGCCCCGAAGCGTGGT